CCTTAAGGGCAGGCCCTGTTTATGCATTAAAAATAGCTAAAACTCAGGGAAAAAAAACCTCATCTTATGGCCAGAGAAACCAGGAAAGGATGCCCTGAGAGCTAGTGTGTGATGGAGGAGAGGGAGAGATGCCTTTAAGACAGGAGAAGGCTGAAGAGAGGCTCCCTAATACTGTATGCAATCCCAGCCCAGGGTGTTGGGCACCTCAAATGGTGCACATATGAGGTATTGTGTGGCTCTTACTTGGCACCTTCATACTTGATTTCCAGTGAGCTCTTTCTAAATGAGTTAACCTTCCATGACTTACTTGGTTTTTTGTGTTCTGTTTTCAAGTTTATCTTAAGGCTCTTTCTTTATTTCCTAAGGATGTTATTTTAATAGTTCCTTTTCTGAAATAAAAAGGCAAAAAAAGTACATGGTTGATAGAGTTTTCTTTTTGATATATGTTTGATACATAATATTAACATTTATTTTTTGGCATTTATATTTTTTTCTTGATTATTTCAATTCCCTTCCCCCGCAGAATCCCCCTCCCTTTCTGTTGTCTTACTCATTATCAAAGTTTGCCTCCCTGTTTCCTACCATCTTTCCTTTCCCTTACTCTTATTTTGCTTAACATTATGGGCTCAAGATCCACCCATTTTCCAGGAAATTATATGAATTCATTCTTTTTTATGGCTAAAATTCCACTGTGTATACGTACCATGTTCTCTTTATTCATTTGTCTGTTGATGGACATACAGGCTGTTTCAAGAGGTTAGCTGTCATGAATTATACTGCTATAAACATGATCATACCCCAAAGAGGAGGTACAGCTGGGTCCAGTAAAATTTCTATTTTGTTTTGGGGGGAATCTCTGTCCTGATTCCCATAGTGATTTTGCTATCCTACATTTCTACCAACAGTGTAGAAGGGTTCCTTTTCCTTACATCCTGGTCAGCACTTGTTGATTTTTGGTTTCTTAATGGTAGTCATTCTTTTTGAAATAAGAAAGACTCTTAGGGCTGGGGATTTAGCTCAGGGGCACGGGGCCTACCTGGAAAGCAAAAGGTCGTGAGTTCAATTCCTGATACCACAAAAACAAAATCAAAACAACAAAGAAGACAAGGAATCTTAGAGTTCTTTTGATTTGCATTTCTTTAATGGCTAAAGATGATGAACATTTTTATGTCTTTATTGGCCACTTGTACTTCTTTAGAGAAGTGTCTTTAATTCATTTGCCCTTTTTCTGATTGGTTCATTTGTTGCAAGGTATTCGTGTTTTTTTTAAGTTCTTTTAAGTTTTTTAGACTTTGGTTATCTATTAGAAGAGAAGCTGGCAAAATTTTTTTCCCATTCTGTTGGTTGTCTCTTCATTCTCTTGATTGTTTCCTTTTCTGAATTGCAAAGTGGCTACAAGTGTTTCCCCTATGTGATTATCTTCTGATAGTTTCAAATTTTCTATTTTATACTGTCTTTGATCCATTTTTATTTGATTTTAGTACAGGGTAAGAGAGGTAGGTCTAGTTTTATTCCTCTTGATAACCAGTTTTTCCTGCACCATTTTTGATAACCAGTTTCCCTGCACCATTTATTAAAGAGATTCGAGATTGCTGTGGGTATTCTGGTACTCTTCTGGTACAATATAAATTTTAGGATTTTTTTCTAGTTTTGTGAAGAATATTATTGGTATTGTAATAGAAATTACATTAAATTTATATATCAGTTTTTATAATGATATTGGTTCTGCTTGTTCAGGAATGCAGACCTTTGTATCCACATGGTGCTGGTTTTACAGACATGCAAAATGCAAAAGTTAGGGGGTTATAAAGACTTTCACCCAGATTTCAGAAAGAAGGCCATACAGTGTGGCCCTGATGGAGCAATGGGTGAAGCTGTAAGAGTGAAGTCAAAAGTGAAATGGAGACCCTAGGAAATTGGAGATGCTAGGAACGTGGAATGTCTGGCTGAGGAAAGCCATAGGTAGTGAGCAGAGCTGCCACGAGAAAGAGGCCATGTAGGTTGTAGCCAGCAAGGCCATAAAGGTGGAGCTACCCAAGCCTTTTGGAGATCAATTCTCATCAACCTGCCCCGGCTACTGGATATGGAACTACTGGTTTTAATTTTGCAGCTACTAAATTTTGGTCTTGCTTTTGTTCCATTCTTTTCTATGCCCATATTTTTCCCTTTTGGAATGGAAATGCACCATTATATGTTGGAAATGTTTAACTTTCTTACTTAGTTTTATAGGCCCTCTCACAGCTAAGAGTTTACCTTGAGTTTTAGAGACAACTTTCAACTTGAACGTCTTAGCAATTCTGGAAATGTTAAAACCTTAGCAGTTTTAGGGATGCACTAACTGGACCTGAGCCTTTTAGGGGCCAGAAGTAGATTGCTATGGTTTAGATTGAGAATGTCACCCAAAAGTCTCATATATTCAAAGTTTGGGCTTTTGGAAGATGATTGTCTTATAGGGGTGCTACACTCAATAGTGGATTAACGCAGTAATGAATTCACAGCTGGATGTGCTTCTAGGAAGTGGGGCCTGGTAAGAAGAGGCAGACCCCTAGAGGTGTAACCTGGAAAGGTATGTCTTCCAACCTGGCTCCTCCCTTCTCTTCCTGGTCGCCATAGGTTGAACACCTTTTCCTCTGCCATCTTGTTTCTGCTGACCATGGACTAAAACTGTGAGTCAAAATAAACTCTTCCTCTTTTAAATGGTGGGTTTCTGGTGTTTTGTCCTAGCAGCACGACAGTGACTAAGGCAATGCTTTGATGTGCTTGTTTTTATGGTTGTAGGCATCTTCCTTTCATTTCTATTTCTAAAACTGGCTGATGCATTTTTAGGTAAGACCTGTCAAGGGAGGATGAATTTTCCCCAGTTTTTGCTTGTCTTGGAAAGACAATATTTCTGAAAGATACTTTCACTGGGTATAATATTCTTGGTTTGCAACTTTTTTTTCAAGGCTTGGGATATATTGTGTCATTCTCTGTTGGCCTATATGCTTTCTACTGAGAAATCTGCAGTTCATGTAATAGGAAGAGGGAGCTTGCTTAAATGTGGCTGCTGTTTCTCACTTGCTGCTTTTAGAATTGTTTCTTTTCTTTGACTTTTGATAGCTTGACTATAATATGCCATGGAAAAGGCTCTTCTCTCACCTTGTTAGGCAAACTGAATTGAACTTCCTTGATCTGGATATCCATGGCTTCCTCAAGATTTGTTTCAGCTATTATTTCACTGAATTGTTTTTCTACATCTTTCTTTTTTCTTGTCTTCTCAACCACACATAATGCAAATAGTTGTATAGATTTTTTATTTTCATTTTGGTTGTTTTGCTTTGTTGTGCTGGTCAGTTGGTTGATTGAGTCATTATTGTTGTTTTCTTGTGTTTTGGTCTGTCTGGGTTATTTGAAAGGCCTTGTCAAAGTCAGAAATTCTCTTTGACCTAATTGATTATTGAGGCTCTCAGCTCTGTTTTTTATTTTACTTTTTGAGTTCTTTAGCATTATTCATTCTGTTTGATTCTTTTTTATTATCTTTCTTTGCTAAATTTCTCATTCATATTATGAATTATTTTCCTAATTTCTGTTATCAGTCTGTTTTCTGTCATGACTCATTCCTTAGGATCATTACTTTGAATTTTTTTAAGGCATTTCATCAGTTTTCCTTTCTTTGGTCCTGTTACTAGAGAATATGATGTATTCCTATTAAGACATAAGGTTACCTTGCTTTTTCATGTTTCTTGTGTCACTCTGTTAATATCTGCACATCTGATGAACCTATTATCTCTAGCAATTTTATAGAATGGCTTCATCATAAAAGACTTTGAACATAAGGTGTTAGTTGACAAAACTGTGTTGGCTTTGGCTCCAGATGGGTACAGGAGTGTGGTCTTTCTATAGCTTCTTGAGCTTTCATCAACACAGTGGCAAATAGTTGCCTATAGTGGCAAGTTTGCTGAGTGGCAAGTTTGCTGAGGACCCTGGGTGTGACTTACACATCTGTGAGTGTGGGATGTCCACCACTTTGCAGGCAGGCAAGGCATTGTTGGTATAAGAGTGGAGGCACAGAGCTCTCGTCAGACTTAGTAGGGTACTCTACCAGGCACTGCACAAGAGTGGGCCTTCTTAAGTTTCACTGGGCAACAGGGGCTGCAGCCACTGCAGGAGGTCCGTCTGAGCTAGTTGCAGCTAGGTTTGGTCCCAGAATAGCACTGTTCAGTGACATCCTGGGTTGAGGAAAGTACAACATGAATTGACCTCCCTTTCCAGAGCAGTGCAGTGGGGCATATTCTCTGGCAACTCCCTGAACCAGGTTTAGGGTCCCTGAGAACTGCATGATTCCCCAGAAGCAAAATCTGCAGGTATCTGTGGCATCAAAAGAGTAGCCAGAACCCTCCCATTTGCCTTTTTCTTGTCTTGGAAGACTGTCTCATTTCAAGCTGATCCAGACTGAGGTGACAAGGCAGTTGGAACACAGTGTCTCATTCCTTTCACAATGTTATCCTGGTTTGGTGTCCTCAGCTGCTTCAATCACACTATACTCCAGCAGTCTCCCCAGTTATTCTAACTGGACAGCAGTTAGCATTCTTTTTGTTTGGGATGGGGGCTTCATTGTGAATGCAACCATGGCCAGCACCTCTGGCCAGCCATCTTATATATTTCACTTTAAATTTCTTTGAGTTTCAGAGGATTATGACTGAAGACAGAGTAAATCAGTGGTGCAGATTATTTTGTACAAACAACCTCAGTGCATGAGAAAAAGAACAGAATTTTCTCATATGTACTTTTAAGATATGGGTCATCATTATGAATCAGTGAAAAGTATTAAATTTCTACATAATTTTTTAAAACAGGTTTAAATGAATATTTAGGTTTTTTAACTCTAAAAATATCTCAGTGAACTATGATATAAATTGACCACAAAGAGTCATCTTAAAATAATGTCACTTAATCATATTTGTTTTCACATTGATTTATAGTCCTGGTTTTCTTTCAAATATTTTTCATTTAAATCTTAGCATGCACACTGAAATATTAGAAAGTAAAGATGAGAAAGATACAAGTTTCCAATCAGCTCCATCTGGTCAGGTAAAAAATTAAATCTACATTGCAGTTTATGATATAAAATCTCATTTTTAAGTCTGTTTCTAAAATTTACTGTTTGATTTCTTCCATATGTTTGGTTAAATGTGAAAAGTAGTAATATTGAAAGCGCTACTTAATGGGACCTAGGCAATGACCAGAAAGAACAAAACAGATGGAACGTGATTAGTACAGAGTATTTTGGAAATAAATAGCATAGATTTTAGGAATAAGAAAAACATGGCCTATTATTTCTTGTCATAGCCAGGAAAATTTAGTAATTTAAAGTAATAGAAGTAAAGATAAGTCTTTACATTATATTTTAAACACTCACCCTTGCTTCTTATTACTTTATCTGAGAGAAACTCTCCCCAGTCTATGTCCATTTATTAAAAATTCTTAAATTATAAACCTTAAAATACTGTGGTGTTATTCTATATGACTTGTCACAGCCCTCACCATTACGTTTTTAGTCCCTCGCTACAGTGGCAGAAACTGCAGGAAGTGCCTTAATACCGGAAATCAAACAGACTGATCATCAGTTTTGGAAATTTTGGTCTTAAAGAGCCATGTAGTTCCTTTTCTACCAGCAGGTGTTGTAATGCCTTCGACTTCCCTGTCATTAATGCTAGCCATCCCTTTCCTTAATCTGTCAGTCACTCCAGCCTTTGGTACATTTCCTGTTCTCTTTTTTGTTATTCTCAAAATATTAGCAATCCACTCCACATAGTGGTGTGCATGTGTGCACATCCTTCCAGCGCAGTGACCACAGAGCAGACTTGAACATCTCTACTCCAGCACAAACAGACCTCGGGGTTTATTGTTGTTGATGTAATTGTTTCTATTTCTGCTTTTTATATTGGGAGAAGTGTCTCAATATTATCACAAACCAAAGATTTTCTAAATCCACAGTTTCATTGTTGGAGATTCATTTAGAGCATTAGAAGATTAAAATAAACATATATGCTATTTAAATACATTGTAAGGGGCTGGGGATTTAGCTCAGTGGCACAGCGCCTGCCTGGCAAGCGCAACGTCATGAGTTCAATTCCCGGTACCAGAAAAAAAAAAAAATCAGAGATAAATACATTATAAATACTAATGGAAGCATGCCTGAATTTCAGAAGACTTGACCTATACTTTTCTCATTTATCTTGGAGCCATATAATTTATCAAATGAGTCCTGAGTTATAAAGTTATATTTCACTTAATTCCCAATTTAGTTGTACTTTGCATTTCAGAAAAGTTTTGGAGATCAAACTGAGGTAGACAGAAGGTAAGACACGTTTATTACTATGACCACATTAGAGGCTCGCTTTTCAGTATACATAAATGTTAAATGAAACTTGGGGACTCGAGTATATTAAAGTCTGCATTATGGCACCTTGCAAAATGCACTGACAGGACACCCTAAATACTTACGTGTGTTCGCCATGTTGACAAGATGTAGTGGCTTAGTACATTCATAAAAATGTATGGGAAGGATAATTCTTAAAATATTTCATTGTTCTCCTTCAGACCTTCAGGGATCCTGGTAGTGGTGAGCATAAAGGAATTAAGGAAACTGTCCTGTTAAACACAGAGGAAACAATGCCACAGACAAAAAAGAGGATATATTTTTCTTGTCCTCCACAAGGAATAGTCAATAAAATAATGACAAACGGTATGTGAAATCAGAAATTTAAATGGAGAAAATATATGTAGTGGATAATAAAACAAAAAGCAACAAAACTGCTGCTTAATCTGTATTGATTGGATTATTAGTTTTGTGATAAGCAATAACTGGAGAAAGAGAAAATATTTCCCTGAACCTTTCAAAGCCAAAAATATTGCTTAATAGATTTAATCTTCTCTGTGAATTTTATGTTCAATTTTGGGGATTGAAAGCAGCACTAAGGATTTTTATTTAAAACCCACCTAATCCCCTTCCTTGTCACACCTATGGACTTTGGCTCATGAGGTATTACTTGTTATTTTAAGTTCACTTTCAGTGGGGCTTTGCTTTTGAGACTTTATGCAGTCTGGAATCAGTAGTGTCCATTGAGATATTTTTTACTTTAAGAAACAACAAAACAAAATTTCATAATCAAATAATAAGAAAATAACAGTAGTCATTACATTGCATATTGTTATCACCTGGTTACTCAGAATATAAGACAGAAACCAAAAAGGTTCTTGTAAAAAAGAAACAGTGCTGGCTTGGCCAGCACATATACTGAAAAAAAGAAACAAACAATAACACAAAACTTTCTTTTCAGTAAACTAAGATAAATTAATAGTATAAATGAAACCAATTAGCACATATATTGAAACTTTTTAAACAATAGAATTTGTATTTTGGGGAATTATTTAAACTTTGAGATGTTTTAAATTAGTATCAGCTAAGTTCCATATGAATAATTTCATGAGAGGATACTTTTTAGCTAGGTTTAGAACTTTGGATATTCCTAACCCATGAGAATCATGTAACTTTGAACCCCAAACATAAATTAGATGAGGTTTAATTTATATATAAATTTTCAAAAGGCCTAGGATATAGCTCAGTGATAGAGCTAGTATACACAAAGTCCTGGGTTCAATCCTTAATACTGAATTTTTTAAAAGTTTGTTTAAAACTTGTCACGTAAAACAAGAGTCTTTGGAATACATCTTAAGAAGTTTCTCTTTAGCCATATTAGTTAGTAGTGTTAGCCTATACTATATATAATTATACAGGCCTGGCTATGAGATAAAATTCTTCTTTTGTTGGTATATACTTACGTTTATGTGGATATATAGATTTTTTTTTATATTTCAGGAGTTATATTCTTTATGAGTTGGTGTACACTCTGGGTATTCTTAGGCCCTGAAGTTCTCCCTGATGGAAAATTATTTGGACTAGTAATTATTTTTTATAGTGCCATTCTTGGGGGGACACTTTTGCAACTCATTAGAATACCTGCAGTGCCCCCACTTCCACCTCTTCTTGGTAAGTATAGGGTAAGCTTTCTTTTCTTTGTTGTAGACTGTTTGTATATTTTGAACAGTTTCTGGTTGGAATAGATACAACTCAGAAATATTTCAATGATCTATGTAATTTTTGTATATGCATTACCACATAATGTTCATGTAGCTTTTGTGGATGTATTTATTCTCTTTGTATATATAGATTTTTAAAAACCTATTTTTAAAATAATTTGAATATACTCAATACATGATTCTTGTTGCTTTATCTTTGAATAAGACATTTTTACTTAATTTTAAGTTTGCATTTTTCACAAAAAGAAAAATTTAGGAGAGACTGAGTTTTGTGTAGACCACATAACTTGAATACAATTACAAGATTTATATATTAGGGCTAGGGATATAGCTCAGCAGCACAGCGCCTGCCTTGGCAAGTGCAATGCCCTGAGTTTGATTCCTGGTTCCAAAAACAGATATATATATTATGTTATATTAGTGATTAGTGCATCCAGCAGTTCTGTGATTGTCACGTAAGCTGTTTGTGCATCTTTACTGTGTATATTCACAGTGCACTGGCTCACCTGCATGATACACTGTTCTTTATCACCATTATTTTATAACTCTCCAGCTACATAGAGGAAAATTAGTGGAGGAATTTCTATCTAGGGTATTGTCCTAGTTACTTTTCTCTCATTGCTGGAACAAAATACCTAACACCCAAAGTTAATAGAGGAAAAGTTTATTTAGCTCACAGTTTATAGAGGTTTCAGTCCATAGTTGGTTGACCTCAAGAAAGGGTGGCATGGTGAGGGGCAACAGTTCATGGCAGCAGAAGACAGCAAAACTAGCAAGAGCAAAAGGGTGTGTGGGCGGGGAGGTGGCACAAGCTTCTTTTCCTCCCTTATATGTATTCATGGTACCCGTCCTGGGGCAGGTGTAGCACTCATACCATCTCCTCTTGCACAGGATGAGGATGTTTACAAAGTGAAGACCCTGGCCCCCAGCTGAGTTATTTAGTTAAATTTCTAAACTTCTCAAGTTGACACAATGAATCAGCCATCATAGGTGTCCTCTTTTAGGTAACAACTGAGTTACACACTGCACCAAATTTGGATGTGTTTTTTCTTTTCATCCTTCACTCCTGCTGCTTCCTCTGCTTGTACTCCTATGTAAGCTGCCCTTGTTTTTCTTTCTCTCTGAAAAATAAACTAAACCAAACATGCTTTCTTTTCTTTTTTTTTTTTTTTTTTACTTTTTATTTTTAAGGGATGTTACTGGCTGGTTTTATCATCAGGAATATTCCATCCATCAGTGAGCATATTAAAGTTCCTATGAAGTGGTCTTCAGCTCTAAGAAGCACTGCCCTTACCATCATCCTAATACGAGCAGGGCTTGGACTCGATCCTGAGGTAGACTTCCACTTATATCTTGAGCTCTTTCAAACAGCAGAGGCAGGTAGGAAAGAAAAAAAGAGGCAGAATTTTTGTTCTAGCTATTCTAAGTGGAGTCTGTAAGCAAAACTAAGACTGAAAAAATACTGGCACCTTACTTTCTGTGTCTAGCTGTCATTGTTACCTGGACGAAGAGAAGTTGCTATGATGTAAGGTATCTATTTGTGATCATCTCTCATCTTTGGATAGCGATCAGTGTCCCTCATGTACCTGTATTGTTTGGGAAGCTCTTTTATGGAGACTATTTCCTTTCCAATTAGCACAGTATAAGGTCTCTCCCCCACTTTTCTCTCTCCATCTATATATCTATATCTATCTATATCTATATATCCATGTCCTCTTTCCTCTTCTCCCCCCTCTTCCTCCTTCTCTTCTTTCCCCTTCTTCTCTTCCTTCTTCTCATCTTCCTCCTCCTCCTCCTCTTCCTTCTTTTATCTTCTTTCTTTCTTTCTCTTTATTTCTTTTTCAGTACGGGGATCAAACCCAAGGTTGTTGTACTACAGAACTGTATCTCCAGCCTTTATTCTTTATTCTTAAATTTTGAGAAGGATCTCACTAAGTTGCCTGGGGAGCACTTGAATTTGTGATCCTCTTGCCTCGGCCTCCCTAATGCTGGGGTTATAGGTGTATGTCCCTACACCTGGCTAAAAGGCAAAGTTTTCTCTCTTTTTTTTTGTTTCTAATTTTTAAAAGAGATTGAAAAGTTTCATAACTTTTTCTTCATGGAATTATGTTCCTGATTATCTTTGCATTATACTAAAAGCTATTTTTAAAGTGCTTAGCATCAGCATCATGAAAAAAAAGAATATTTCTTAAAGTATTACAACCTAGGGGTCATAAATCTATTTGGCTTTTAAGAAGATGAGTGTTTATGAATATAACAGCTATGCAAGTCAATGTGGCAAATGTATGGGTTTGATGGGAATACCATCCTGAGAGCACAGACAGTTGTAGCTAGCAATAATTTGCTAGAGTCTTGGGTAAAAAATTTGAACCATTGGAGAAATTGAAAAGTTCTCCCTTTTTAAATTACTAATATAATTGTAAGTTATTTTCTTTTTTGGTATATTGATATTTTCTACTTATAAGTATTGAGTTAATGAACAGTTAATTGCTAAAAATTTATAGGGAAGAAAACCTATAGGATATTCTCATTACACTATGTGTTAGGAAAATGTAAAAATAGTTACTTAATCCTACAGAGGTGAATCTTCTTAGTATGAGAACATATTTTACAAAGTGTGAAATTGTAAGCCGTTGTGTGATGACTATATATAAAGTGAACTCGGGGAGTTTCAAACCCACTGGGACTGGTGGCCACATGAGACTCGGGTTAGCAAAAGCTGAGTACTGAAGAGACACTGCACTTCAGCATGTGCTTAGGTGGTTTTCCTGCTGTGTGTGTGACTCTGTCCTCAGGTTCTGCGGCAGATGAAGAGAGTCTGCTTCCGGCTGTCTTTTGGCCCATGCATCATAGAGGCATGCAGCGCTGCTGTTTTTTCCCACTTCATCATGGATTTCCCTTGGCAGTGGGGGTTTCTACTAGGGTAATTATTTTTGCTTTTTTTCCACTATGAAAATACACAGTTAATGAAGAAACAGCTTTTCACTGACATTTTTTTCACAGCTGTGGGAAACCTTGGAAATCAGTTGATCAAAAGCAGAGCCATGTCCCAAATGTACCCTATCCTTGACAAGCATTCATAGTTTCTCAGTGTGCACTGCTAAGAAGCGCACATGCTCAGCCTGTCCCTTCCCTACCATGTTGTAATGCATGTGTCTGTCTTATCCTATCAAATGGTCCCTTGGTCACTGTATGTGTGTATGAAGGTATAGAAGAGATTTTTATATTTTATTTATTTATTTATTTTTTGGTACCGGGAATCGAACTCAGGACCTTGCGCTTGCCAGGCAGGCACTTAATGCCACTGAGCTATATCCCCAGCCCTAGAAGAGATTTTTAATATAGATATATAAATAGAAACTCTCATTTTCTGAAGACAAACAAAGAAAATTCTTTCCCTGTAATCAGAGCCCCAACTGTCTTTCCCACCATCCTTTCCCTTATGTCCAAATTCTTCAACATAAGTCTGCAATCACTATCTCTAGACATGAAGTCCTTTTCACTTTCAATTAACTTTTGCCTCTGCTTGTCCATTCCCGTGAAGTTTGTAGCAAGTTCACTTTCTGGATACCTATTGTCATAGCCAATGGATTTTAAATTAATTTTTGTTGTACATTACTCAAATGCATTACCATTTTATACTGTTACATTTCTGAGGTGTTGAGCCCAGAGCTGCACCATGGCACCTTCAGCCCTGAGTTTACCTTGTGAAATAGCAGAGCTTTATAGATAAAGGCGATGTTCTCTTTATGATGCCTCCAGTAGGTGGGACTCTAAGGCATCCACAGCCTCTTCCATATGAGTATAGATTTCAATGTAGCACTTTTAGAGAATGTAGAAAATTTAGAGAATCCTGTCATGGATTTGATTTACATTTTCCTGATAATCACAGACACTGAGTGCTTTTTTGTGTGCCGGAACTATTTGTAGATCTTCTTTGATGAAGTGCCACTTCAAATCTTTTACCAGTTTTTAAAATTGAGTTCTTACGTTTTAAATTATCTTTATATCCTAGACCCAAGGTTTTTGTCCAATATATGTATTATGATTATTCTTCAGGTGTGTCACTTGGCTTTTTTTTTTTGTAAGAGCTATGAGAAAGAACTTTCAAGCAAAAAATAATATAAAATGAGCCAATAAAACACATCTCATCTTAAAATCTTCTTTATTGCTACCCTGCTGTCCCCAAATGTTATTCTAATTTTGTACTATATTCACTTAACTTATTTATCCCTATGTTTATCTACATATTTTTTTACCTAGTGGCTATCTTAGTTACTTTTCTTGTTGCTGAGACAAAATACCCGAGACCCAAAGTTAAAAGAGGAAAGGTTTATTTAGCTCACAGTTTGTAGAGGTTTCAGTCCATAATTGGCTGGCTCCAAGACAGGGTGGCTTTGCAGAGAGAGCAATTTATGGCAGGCAGAAGTTAGAAAAGCAACAAGGGATCTTAACAGTTTCTTTCTTCCCTTTTTATACACTATCTAGGCTACTAGAATTAGGACAGTGGCAAACCAATCAGTAGATCAACTTAGTAGTCACATACCCTTAATCCCAGCATTGTACCCTGAATCACACACTCTAGATCCAGCCACCTCTGAAAAAGCTCTACCTATGACTGCATGAGGCTTTGGGGGGACATCTAGACACAAGCCATAACAGTGGCTAAACCAGCTGGCATTTATTTCACACAGTTCTGGATGCTGGAGGGTCAAGATCAAAATGGTGGCAGCTTTGGTTTTTCCTGAGTTCTCTGCTTGGCCTGCAGATAGCCATTTTGTTGCTGTGTCCTCTTTGGCCTGTTCTCTCACAGGCATTCTGAGTGTCTCTGTCCTTAGAGGGACTCAAGTCCTTTTTGATTAGAGCCCCACTCTTATGACCTGATTTTTAATTGGTTCCTTTTTTATTGCGGTACTAGGGATTGAACCTAGGGTCTCACGCATGCTAGGCAAGTGCTCTACCACTCAGGTACATCCGCAGCTCTTTTTATTTTATTTTGAAAGAAGGTTGCACTATGTCACTTAGATTGGCCAAATTTATAATCCTATTGCCTCAGCCTTCTCAGTAGCTAGGATTACAGGCTTGGGCCGCCATGCCCAGCCTATAGTCAGTTCTCTTAAGGTTGTGTCATCAAATACAGTCCCATTGATGCTGACTTTCCACATAGGATTTGGCAAGGAAGGGGACATAGTTCAGTGCATGACAGTTTTTAACCCAGGAAACGTCTCTTCCAATCTTTTTTCACAGTTCTTTTTTTTCTGTCCCTTAAAAAGAGGAATACTTTAGGGCATGATATCAGGCTTTGTTTGTTTTTATTCTTCCTCATTTTGGCCCTCACTGTTCTCTACATTCTAATGGTTTCAAGTTCTACCTACAAGCCAGATATATGTGTGATCCAAGTCTACCGTGTTCTGTTAGCACAGGAAACGATAACAAGTTCTACAGGTAGTAATATCACATTCATGCAGGTGGCCAAATTCCAGGAGGGAAGTGTGGAAGTCCTAGCCTCAAAATAAAATGTTCATGTAAAATTTTGTTAATGTTGCATTTTACATTTCATTACACAACAGTCATTAACATTTTTAGGATTTCCTATGTGCCAACCGCTCTTTTTCCAACAGGTCTGTGCTGTCTATAGCTCTGTGTACTGGAGGGTGGTATCTTAGTTACTTTCTAAGCGATATAATACCTGACACCCAAAACTCTAAGGAGAAGAAGTTTATTTTGGATCACAGTATGCAGAGATTTCAGTCCATAGTCAGCTGGCTCCCAGAGAGGGCAGCATGGCAAAGGGAAACAGTTCATGGCATGGTGGCAGGAAGTGGAAAGCCAGTAAGGGTAGAGGAAGAGAGATCAACTTGCCAGGCCTTGCCCCCAGCAACCCATCTCCTCCAATCAGGCTTCACCTCCCAACATGATATTTAGCTATAACCCCTGGTGAGTATCACACCCCTGTGATCCATTCACTTCCCCAAAGCCCCACCTACTCTAGATCTAAACTCTTAACATGTGGAGATAGGCATTCTTTAATAGCTTAAGCAATGTTTTTTGTACTTGTTTGCCAAGAGGGTCTGTTTTCATTTTTTAAATTTGGTACAATTTCATCCTTTTAATCTGATAATGTAACAAATTATATTGGCAGTTTCCTAGTGTAGAACCATCCATGTATTTACCTGTGTGACAGCTTTTTTATTCTTTTAATAAATAGATTCAATGTGTTCATACTTAGAATTTTATCATTAAGATCGCAAATGAGATTGAATTGTGGTTGTTTTTCTTATCGCTTTGTCATGTTTACTATATTTTGCTGTCATTGCCTCAAAATCCTTCATCTTGCAGTACTTAGCATTTTAATGCTGGTTTAATAATATCACCTTTATTTCCTTTCATCTTAGCTTTATTTCTTTCCTTTTAAAATAAAGAAAAATAGGCATTACCAAGATATTTGAATAATTTGTGTCTCTCTTCCAGCAACTTCTGGATGTCTTTATCCTCTTATTGGAGTACTTTCACCAAAATTATTGCCAATCTGAATCTTTTTGTGACAAACTGTAATAGTCACTTTCCTCCCTGAGACAAAATACCCAACACCCACAATTTGAGGAAGAGAGGTTTATTTTGGCTCATGGTTTCAGAGGCTTCAGTGCATATGTGGTCTGATGACTCCAAGGCAGAAATAGCCTGGCGGAAGAGTGGAGAAAGGATGCTCATTCACCCCATGGGATCCAGGAAGCATAGAGCAAGGAAGAACCAGAGAGAGACAGATGCCCTCCAAAGACATGCCCCCAGTGACCCTCCTCTATCAAAACCATCCCACCTCCTAACAGCACATGTGGGACTTGGTGGTCTCTCGGTGGTCCCTGGGAAAAAATGGTGAGAAGTTTTAGAAATAAAGACAAGAGACAATAGCTGGGGTCAGGTGGAGTTACCTCTTACCTGATAGGCAAGAGGACTGACTTCAACAGTAGGGGATTTATTTTATACTCTTGCAAAGTTAGTATCACAAGAGGTAATGTTGCTTTGCAACTTATGACTGTAATTGTCCAGGCAGGATGTCTTTCTGAAGACGGAGGTAGTTTGACTGCTTGAGGCACTCTGGCTCTGTCTTGCCCTCACACTTATGACAATTTCCAGCTCCCATGGCTCCCAACAAGCACATTCAGCTATGAGCTTATCAGTGGATTAATCCATTTCTAAGGTTAGCACCCCCATGATCTATTCATCTTCCAAAAGCCCCACCTCTGAACACATGAGCCTGTTACAGGACATTTTTATCCAAACCATAACATTTGGCTATACTCACTTATTAATACAAACAATTTATCTTTACATTACTTTAGATTTGTTTCTTCAGATTTTCTACCTGTACAGCCATGTCACTTACAGATAATGAGAGCTTTACTGCTTCCTTTACAATATGCATGGCATGTAGTTTTCTTTCCGGTTCCATATGTTCATTGGAAGTAGCTAGCCAACTGCAGGGGTATATGCTGTAATCTTAGTATTTGGGAAGCTGAAGCAAGAAGATTGCAAGTTCAAGGCCAGCTTGGGCTATATAGGGAGTTCAAGACCAGCTTGGACTACATAGCAAGATCCTCGTGAGCAAGAGGGGACAGAAGAATGGAACTGTGATAGCAGGCATCTTTGACAGCAACCTTTGGTGATTGTCTTGAGCTTCTATTTTTCAGAAGTTTTTATAGCTGCCTTTTATTCAAATCAGAAAGTTCCCCTCTTAGGTTTCTAAAAGATTTCTTTATCACAAATGTGTGTAAACTTTCATCAATTTTTTGTTTCTATTATAAATTTTCTGCTTTATTTTATTATAGTGAGTGCCATTGATTGATTTTTCCAATGTAAACTAAACTTTCATTCATGAAATAAACCGAATTCAATGATCATCTACATTTTCAGCTACCCTTTACTATTTTGTATTATGTATATGGCAGAAACTTTGGAGCTGAAGAAACAATAACTGAATTGAAAAGTTCCCTAGAGGGTATCCATAGCAGACTGAACCAAGCAGAAGAATTGGTGAACTTGAACACAGACCATTTGAAATTACCAAGTTAGAGGAACAAAAAGAAAAATGAAGAGCAACTCAAGGACTTATAAAATGCTGTAAAGTATTAGAAAGCTGCAATAATAAAAACAGTGTGGTAATGACATAAAGACAGACACTGAAATCAATGGAATAAAATACAGAGTCAGACTTAAACCCTCACTTATATGGTCAGCTGATATGTGACAAAGGCCAGTATCACACAGTTGAGGAAGGACATTTCTTCCACAAACACTGGAGGTGAAATTGGATATCCACATATAAAAGAATGAAATTGGGGCAAAAAGCTTTGGGGACTGAATTTGGTAATGATATCTTGGATATGACAACAAAACCACAGGCAACAAAAGCAAACATAGACAACTAGGACTACATCAAACTTTGAAACTTTCACACAGCAAAGGAAACAATAAAAAGGTAGCCTTTGTAATGGGAAAAATAATTATAAGCTAAGGATTAGTAACTATAATATATGAAGAATTCCTACAACTCAATAACATAAAAAAATTCCCCAAGTATAATTGGACAAGTAACTTGAATAGACATTTCTCCAAAGAAAATATACAAATAGCCAATGAATATATGAGAAATGTTCAACATCTATAACCACTAGAAAAATGCAAATCAAAAATAAAATATTGCCACAAACAATACTTACAAAATAAAAATGTTGTCTGTAATATGGAGAAACTGGATCCTTGTACATTGCTGGTGGGATGTAAAAATGCTGTGCCACTATGTAAAACAGTTTGAAGATTCCTCCATAACAAAAGCAGAATTACCATGTGATCCAGCAATCCCACTTCTGGATATTCACCCAAAGGAATTGAGATAAACATCTTGAAGAGATATTTGCAGATAGTTGAAGAGATACTCATTTTCTTTGCAGCATTATTAACTAGAGCCAAGGGTGGAACAGCCCAAATGTTCATTAAAAGATGAGTGGATAAAGAAGATGGGATATAGACATATACTGGACTATCACTGAGCCATAAGAAATCTTATCACATAGTACAACGTGGTTGAACTTTAGAACATTATGGCAATTGAAATAAGCCAGTCATAAAATGTCAAATACTGTATGATTTTACTTACATAAGCTATCAAGAGTAGTCAGGAGCACAGAAACAGAAAGCAGAGTGGTAGTTTCCAGAGAGGAGAAAGAAGGGAAAAGGGAGTTGTTTGATGGATGTAGTTTCAGTTTTGCATAATGAGTACTTATTTAGATATCTTTTATATAACCATGGGAATACAGTTAACACTACTGACATATGCTTAAAAGTAGTTACAAGAGTAAATATTTATATTTTCTACCATAATTTTTAAAAATATCCGAGCCCTCAGGTCACACTCCATTTCCATAAGATCAGAGTGTCTTAGAATGGGAGCCGGGCACCCTCACTGTTCAGTGCTTTCTTAGTGCATGCTCAGCCTCTAAGATCACGTCCTGTGATCCCTGCTTTCCTATATTTACACCTTTGGGCAAGAGCCTATTCTCAAGTGTGGAATGGGCTTACTAACTTGCTTCTGATGAAGAGAATACAGAAGAAGTAATGGGATGTCACTTCTGAAATTAGGCTATAACAAGACTGTGGTTTCTGTCTTGCATTCTTTGTGGTGGTTGGTCCCAGAGGATGCCAGCTGCCCTGCCCTGGGGTAGCTTTGTTGGGAAGAGACAAAAGCCCATCAACCATCATGTAAACTTGAAAGCTGACCTTCTCTTATTCATTTCATGAGAGGTCTTGAGTCCAAGGTATACAGCTAGGCCCTACCTAGATTCCTAACCCAGAGAAAAAGTGAGATAGTGTTCAAAAATTTGTTAAGCAAAAAGAAATAAATAATACAATGGGTGATTCCAGTGTGCAGCAGCCAAGCACACTGAACTTGGAAACCCCACGGTTTCTGAGAAGTCTTTTCTGGAGGCCACCGGGAAGTCTGGAGCATAAACTGCATCAGAGCAGCAGGGAGACTATACTTGTAGACCCTCACATTGGTGAGAGCTCTTGCGGTGCATAGGTGGTGGCAAGACCTCCTAGCATCCCAAGGTAGTCTCCTCCGCAGGCATACCTCTTAGGAACCTGCAGGTAGCAGTGGTAGTAGCCAGTGTGCAGTGGCTCAGGCAAATGTGCACTGGCCTGGCAGAGCACCAGGGGCATCTCTACATGGCACAGTCAAGCCCTTACAAAGGGCATGGGGAACAGACTCAAGATGGCATACAGAGGCACCCAGCACTCCTGCTCGGTGTGCAATTGCATGCTGAGGTGAGCACCATGGGGAGCACGGAACTCAACAGCAGAGGGATGGTGGGGCCCACAGAGTGTGGACAACAGGTAGTAAGAGTAAGAGGGACAGACTGTGCCAGCCCTGACACATGGTGGCCCAGAGGTACAATGGGGCTGGGAATACCCCATCAGCAGAAGTGTGGGTGAGAGTGACTCAGAGAGCCCCACGAACACACCCTCAAAATAGAGAAAAGACCTGGGTCTGCATAGTGAGCTGGCTCTGGAGGAGTAATTCCTGCGTGTTCTCCTGGGTGGAGAACCAAGAGCCATCCTGAGAGGTGACCTGTATCTGAGCTTCAGTTTCAGGAGTTAGAAGCCCCTGACACACACCCTGATGCTGTGTATGCTGTGGCGTCGGAACATACAGCCCCCCAGGGTCCTGTAGGCCCCACATCCCACCAGCCCTGCTCCAACCCAGGACTTGGTGAGGCCCTGGGCTCCCTGTCTGCACAGGTGTTCGGCGATACGCCACGGTGCCAACTTTTGCCCTGGTTGTGGAGAGTTGCCGGGAAAGCTCCAGAGGGAATGTTCTGAGTGCTGTGTCCCACGCGAGTTCACATCAGCATGCGGAGCTACTGAGAGGTTCAACAGCCTCAGCCACCATCGCTGCTGCCAGGCCCCTGGCGGGCACCACAGCAGAACTGAGCATTAATGACTCTTTGCCTTGGCTCTGTCCACGGGGCACACAGCCTAGAAGGACCCAGAGAGACACTCACCAGTGTAGCTCATACTGATCCACCCGTCCCCCTCATTCAAGCATCTCAGCAATGAGGGAGAACATTTTTTTCTTTTCACATTTCTTCTGATTTCTTCTTTTTTATTCTTTTATTTCATTCGATGTCCCTCTTCTCTGTTAATTTTAGAGGGATATTGTGAAAAGAGGCATTTCCATATTTACTAATACTTTCATTATCTGCAGTATTTGAAGTTCAGTCTTGTGTATTATTAAAGCATTAAAATATCTTTTAGGTTGAAAAATAATATATAAGGCCCAGGCTCAGTGATATGGCCTACAGTCCCAGCTATCTGGAAAGCTAAGGCAGAAGGATTTTTGTTTGTAATTTGTCATTGCATATTTACTGTTCTGTGGTATGGGGATTGGGCCTGGGACTTTATACATGTTGGGTGGGTGCTTCTGCCACTAAGCAGCACTCCCAGCCCAGCTAAAGAAATGCACCAAGCTGCAGAATGCTCTAGTTCCACCCTGACCTTGGCAGGTGCCTCAACTTAATGCGGGTAGGGGAGCCAGGGACCCTTCCCCACATGAGCATAGCTAGGAGGGGCCTTACATCCCATTCCTTGGTGAGCTACTCAAGAAGTAGGAGTGCCATGGAAGGGGCCTTTCTAACAGTGGTACTGGGAGTGACAGTCCCTTGGTTCTCCAGATCTCTCTCTGCAACCTCCCCTTTCTGGGCATGGAGCACTTGCTGCATCTTCCGTAGCAATCTTTTTTTTAGTTTATGGTTTCCTTTTTAAGTACTACACTGTCTATATTTCACCTTGAAGACCACACTTCACTTTTTGTCTAGGGTTTTCCTTTTATTTTCTAGTCAAGTTATAGAATTTCCCATTAATTTTTCTATCTTTATTTCAAAGGATTTAGTGAAAGAAGGAGAGGCTGAAATTTGTGCTCAGTCCCTGATCTTGACCCACAAGTCTGTAAATCGTAACCAGTGCTAAAGAATGCATGGAAAACTTTCCCACCATTGAATGCTCTCACTTGAAAGCAGAACTTCTGCACATGGAGTTGTTAAAATGATAAGAACATCGATAGTAAAGTGCACGGTGCAGCACTGGTGACGAAGGTGTCTTTCTTCAGGTTTGTGCTAGGTGCTGTCTCTCCTGCAGTTGTGGTCCCATCCATGCTGCGCTTGCAGGAGGCAGGGTACGGCGTAGAGAAGGGCATTCCCACCGTGCTGATCGCTGCCAGCAGTATGGATGACATCGTGGCTATTACGGGGTTCAATACGTTCTTGAACCTCATCTTCTCCCAAGGTGAGCATGAAATTCCAAACTACCAGATCACTCATGACCTTTGTAGCTCTTCAAGCAAGGTTTCAGGCTTTACTTCTCCACTTATGAACCAAGACTTCTCAGCATCACATCTTTTTATTCTTGATAGAAAGCTCATCCCAGGCCAAGGAAAAAATTTCAGTGGGTTAAGAAAACACTTAACAAAGTGGTTTTATTTTAAGAGGAAACATTTTGATTAATTTGATAATCCATATCATTACTGTTTATCTGTTCATGGTGCTTTGGGATTTTTTCAGTTTTCACTAAGAGAATGTTGAGCATCAGTATTATTAGTACTGCTAATACTTTAATAGGGATTTTGAAATATTCTTTTTTGGCCATCCTAATGAATAACTTGTTGCTCTACATTAAGACAATATAAACATGCAAAGCGGGGATAACCATGTGCCTCTTTGAGTTGTGATAGAGCAGGATCCAAGCACACTAGTTTGATTCTCAGGTGCAATCTGGTCTTGAAGACATCGGGAAAGTAGGCATTTTCACAGGTACTAATGCTTTATCTGCAGTGTTTGAAATTCAGTCTTCTGTATTATTAAAGCATTAAAATGAATGAGTCCTGGTGGTGTTAAACAGCTATTCATATGTGTTGCCATTGGTATTTTGGAATATTTGGTGAATTGCTTCTCTTCAAAGTCTTTTTCCTATTATAGATGTGTTTGTTTTCTGTTCTTTTTGATGTGTTAGGATTCTGCATAAAATTAAGAGTAATAACTCTTTGTTTTACGTACTATAGATTTTCCTATTTGTAATTTGCCTTCTAGTTTTCTATTTTTGCCATTCAGAAAGTTTAATTTTTCGTGTGAATTCTGGCCATGGTTTTCCATGAGTGGTATCATTCATTCCTTCAGAAGTATTTTTGTAGTCCTCTTCATTATGCCAGGTTCTGTGCCAAGCACTGAGGATAAACAGTGAACAATGTGATCATCTTAGAGGACTTGCTCTAAGTTCCATGAATGTTTCCCTTCATTTGCAGATGAGGAAAGTGAGAAATAGAAGTCAAGTAACTTGGTCAAAGCCATAGATGCTGTAGGTAGGAGAACCAGAATGTAAATGTGGCAGTCTACCCCAGAGCTGCATGTGTGATGACGTTTTATACTGCCCCTCAACACAGCAGATGGACAAGTCCAGATAGCCTGTGTTTTCACAAAGCTTATGTCAAGCAATTTCAAATAGGATGAGTAACCTATAGCAGAGGGTGACATCAAGCCTAATTTGTGGTGACCCAAAGGAATTGAAAAACCAAGCAAGATTACATCTTAAAATTCCTTTCCTACCTCCTGATTCTGTAAACTTCCATGTAAAATTTTAAGACTTTATGTTGTGCAGTATATCTTCCATACATCTTTATTTTGGAACATGGCCTATTTTGAGATCTAACTTCACTTTTAGGTAACTAAAGTACTTTCAGCTTTGTTGTTGGATATTACATCTCTGTAACATCACCTTTATTAAACTGAAATTCCTAAATACAGAGTCTGCCCAAAAAATGCATACACACCTCAGGAAAAGAAAAATATTAAATGTCTGGAAGCTAATGGCCACCCCTTTTAGCAACTCTTATAATTGCAGAGGCCAAACATAGCTTGTATTAAACTCAAGATGTCTCAATAAATTTAGTATTAAAGTATTAATACAAGTTTTTCTTTTCCTGAAGTGTGTATACATTTTTTGGTAGACTTTGTATACTAAGTTAGTTTGATTCTACTTTTCACAATTCTGCTTTTTCTTGTGTTAAAGGCACATGTGTGGGTGCTCTGCTGCTAGGTATGTATCATCAATTCACCTTCCGTCATTATCGAATGTCCTTGTGTCTTGTGACAGTATGTGACTTCAGATTTATTTTTTCTTAGTCTTGCTCTCTTTTGGTCACCATTTGTGTGGAATGTCTTTTTCCATCCTTTCACTTTTAGTCTCTGTGTGTCCTTAGCTCTAAAGTGAGTTTCTTATACAGAGCACATACTGTGGCTTGAATCTTGCTTTTTAATCCGTTCAGCTCATCTGTGTCATTTGGCTAGGGAACTAATCTGTGGAGCATCTACAGTAATTACTGAAAAAGAATGGCTTATGCTTGCCATTTTGCTTATGTCTAATTCCTATTTTCTCCCTTTTTCTCTCCTCCTGCCTCCTTCTGTGTTTTTTTAACTTCTTATAGACACACACTTTGATTCCTTTGTCATTTTTATTTCTGTATCTTCCATAGGTCTTTTATTTATAGTTTCACAGAATTACATAGAATACCTTATGATTACAACAGTTTGTTTTAAACCAGTAACACTTAACTTCAACCTCTACTTGTCTTGGTTACTTTTCTCTCGTTGCTGAAACAAAATACCTGATGCCCAAAACTAAGCAAGGAAAGTTTTATTTAGTTCACAGTTTGTGGAGGTTTCAGTCCACAACTCGCTGGCTCTGAGGCAGGGTGGTGCATGGCAAAGGGGCAACAGTTCATGGCAGCGGAAGACAGCAAAAGCAACAAGGGTGAAAAGGGGAAAGCAAGCCTTTCTTCCTCCCTTACATTGTATACAAGCTACCCGCCCTAGGGCAGGTGTAGCACTCACTTTGCCAATCCCAGCACTAGACAATGAACCAATCACAAACTCTAGATTCAGCTACCTCCAAAAAGCCTGCCTCCCATGACCACACGAGGCTTTGGGGTGACTTCCAAATACAAACCATAACACTACTCCTTTACATTTTTTTCTCTGCCCTTTGCTCTAGTGTCACAAATTGCATCTTTTATATTGTATATTTGCTCACTTGGTTAAATTTATTTTTACTTTATCTTTTAAATTCCATACTTGTGGGCTGGCAATATAGCTCAGAGAGCCTGCCTGTGAAGCACAAGGTCCTGAGTTCAATCCCCAGTACAAAAAAAAACAAACAAAAAACAAAAACTTAAAAAGAAATAAATTCCATACTTGCATTAAAAGTTCTTCACTTACCACCCTAAAAGTATTGCAAAATTCTATAATTGTCTGTATGTTTACCTTTAAAATAAAAGCTTGTGTTTTGTACACTTGTGTGTGTTGTCCCATAAGTACTGCCTCACACCTGGAAGGCAGGCCCAGTGCTGAACTCATTCAGCTTTCACGAATCTGTGGAAGACTTTGTTTCCCTTTTGTTTCTGGAAGATGGATTGGATTTGCTGAGTGTCTTGCTCTTGGTTGGCAGGGTTATCTTTGTCCAGGACCCTGGGTACATTACCCACCCCATGAGGCCTGTAGGGCATTGTCTGCTAACTCTGCAGCCATCTCGTGGAAGTTCCCATGTGAAGCAAGGTGCTTTGTTCTGCTGCCTTCAAGAACCCTGTTCGCCTTTGACTTTGACGGTTTGGTGCCAGTGCCTTGTTTTTAGGTCTCTTGGTTTATCCCAGTTAGTTTCTTTGAGGTTTCTTCCATGTCCGTTTCTTCCTCACATTTGGGAAGCATGGGGCCATTCTTCGTCTCTCTTCCCTTCTGACGTACCACCATGCATACACTGGTCTGCCCAATGGCAGCCTGTAAGGCCCGAGGCTCTGCACAAATAAACTATCTTCCATTTCACTGCATCTGTCTTGTGCTTAATGCAGCCTACTATCAATTTCCTCTGCTGAAATTTTCAACTTTAATATTGTACTTGTCAGTTTTAGAGTTTCTGTATTTTTTATATGGAGTTACCATCTCTGTTGATATTCTCATTTTGTTCATGTGTCATTCCCTGATTTTATATAGTTGACCTTCTTGTTCATACAGGGCTTAAGATATTTTTATTTATTTGTTTTATTGTTTGTTTGTTTTACAGTGCTAAGGCTTGAAGCCAGGGCCTAAGGTATGGTAGACAGCTCTACAACTAAGCTACCTCCTTTAGCCTTATTTTGAAATCTTCGTCAATTTCACAAGTGTCCATTTCCTTAGGGTCAGTTTCTGGAGAGTTAGTTGCTCCTTTGCATTGGTCCTGTGTCCTGTTTCTGTGTGTGTGCTATGACTCTTTATTCGGGGGTTTGGCATTTAAGAAGACTGCCTCTCCTGCCAGTCTTTACTGGCTGATGCTGTGCTATTGACTGACCATGGCCAGCCTCTGGGTGCTGTAGTTGTGACCGCTCCAGGCTCATGCATGCACTCCATTCAGATAGGTTTCTCAGGGCCTTTCTGTGGAGCTTTTGCTCCCTGTTGTCTGTACACTGCAGGCTCCCTGAGTTTGGAGCCGTCTCTGACCTATTGTTTGTTCTCAGCAGCTCTCTGGTATTCACAGTACACAGGTTGGGAGACGGGGATGGAGAGACTAGTGCCTTGGGGAACTTCCAAAAAGTGCTCCTTTCTCCTGGTCTCCTCCTGATGGAGAAGTGGCAGGTCCGGTGTTCTCCTCAGTTTTGCCAGCCTGTGCCAGCTTAGGGAAGGACCCTGACAGGCACCATGTAGCAGCTGCTCCCACCGTCCATGTCACACGTCCTGGCCTTGCACGCACCTGGACTGCTGCACGTCTCCGTGGCCTGCGGTGCTGCCCTGAGCCTTTGGACCGCATGCTGGTGCTTGCTCTAGTCTGTAGGTGGTCAGGGTTTGGGCTTCTCATTCCACCATCTTGCTGACACCACTCTTTCTATGATTTTTAATGAAAAAAATCCTAAAATGTATACATCCTTTAGGGTAGTGATGGTGAACCTTTTAGATACGAGTGCCCAAACTGCAACCCAAAACCTACTTTTTTTATCAAAGTGCCAACACTGCGATTAAACCTGAATGTTAGGCTGCAGGGACAATACTGGGGCAATTTGGCTCAAGTGCAGAGAGGGCTGTGGGTGCCCCCTGTGCCATTGAGCCATAGATCTGCCACTGCTGCCTCGGCGAGTCCGATACCCAGAGCAGAAATGAACTTTTTTTTTGTAACTGAGGATCAGAGTTGTTTGTCATTTTTTTACTTACTACTGTGAACTACAAATATGAATACCTAATAGCTATAGATAAAATAGGTATTGGAAACTCAGTTGCTCCTTGGCTCTTTCTAGGCTCAACCCTGGAGTAAAATTATCTTACTCTGCTGTTATTGTTGTTATTTTGCACAGTAGCACATCAGCGAAGAACTGTTCATATAGCCCTACTGGCTACATGTCAAGAGCCATGGTCTTCCCTGTCGTTTTCTCCCCATTTTCCACCCCACTTGGTCTCACAGGTGAGCGTGCAAGAGGTGTACACTGTGGCTTGTCACTTACTTGTTTTCTGACCCAAACAATGGGAATTTCTGAGTTTTGTGTATATTTTAAATTATTTGAGAGTAGGCATTTAATTTCAATTAGATCCCAATACATTTTTATATGTATCACTGTTAAAGGTCCAATTTATTTATTTGTTCTACACAATGTTACTTTTCTTCATAAACTACATAGATTTGATTTTCTGATGTGCAAATATTTCTCTGTGAAAAGTATCTTTTTCTATGTGCTCTCACAGGTAGCATACTTCATAACGTCCTAACAACTTTATGGGACGTACTTGTTGGTGTGCTGGTAGGAACTGTTTTCGGAGTTTTTATTCAGTATTTTCCAAGTGAAGATCAGGTAAATTTAAAAATTTATGTATTCTGTAGAACTGCAGGATGTTAGTTTTCCATCACCACAATGAACAACCTGAGATAGTTAACTTATAAGTGTGGAGGTTTACTTTGGCTCACAGTTTGAAGGTTCCATTCCATGATCAACTGGCCCGTCATCATGGGCCTATATCATGGCAGAAGTATGCAGCAGAACAAATCCATTAACATTAGGAGCCAGGCAGCAAAAGAGAGAGAAAGGACCCGGCATCCCACTGTCCCCCAGGGAGCATGCCCCCAGTAGCCCCAGGACCTCCCACAAGGTCTCCCCAGTGCCTCTACCTGAGAACCACGCCTCCAACAGCATCCAAACCACAGCATGTAACATTAGACATTTCTTTCCAAGAGTTGAACTTTGGAGACATCTGTGAAATGTTAAATTCCACACTTAACCCTCTCCCCTCAAGGAGCCCTCCATGCCCGAGCACAGTCATGCTTTGTACAGGTTGACAATGCCTTGACTAATGTCTCTGCTTCTTAATTTGTCAAATAAGGAAAATGTATTTAAATCTGAGCATCTCTCTTCATTCTGCCCCCACCTTCTCCACTAGATTGCCTATTAAGTCTGACAATTTTTCCTAATCTTTTTTTCCCCCAAAGTTTCCCTTGAACATTTTTGGAAAAAGATAGCTTCCCATTTATCTGTACATTTTTTGACATAAATTTGTTCCTGCTCTTCTTTGACAGAGTCAGCATTATTAAAATTAACACTTTCCTGCTCTAAAGGATATACCATTACTATTGTATTTTGATACCTTCCACCTTTTACCTGTAACAATTACTTTGACTAAAGAGATATTAAGAATTTATTTTAAAAACTTTGGTGGATAGCTTCTATAAAACTGAAGATTATATGAATCTCCCCTTCACTTTCAGTTAAAATATTATAGCCATTTTATTGATTGGTATCAGTTATATATATATATATCAGTAAAGGAAAGTTTAATATTTGTAAATTTTATTACTAGAAATCAAGTTTGCTGAAACACTTAGGAAGAAAATCAACATTTTAGACCCTAACATATTGAGGGACATGTTAGCAAAAGGTCAAAAAAAATGATAGATGATGCTAACTCTTACATATTTAATGTAAACCAATTTCTAAATATCTATTTCTAGGAAAAAGTTCCAATGAAGAGAGCATTCCTTATTTTGAGTATGTCTGTTTCTGCTGTACTAGGCAGCCAGCATATTGGTTTACATGGAGCTGGAGGATTATTCACGCTAGTGTTATGTTTCACAGCAGGGTTAAAATGGACCAAGGACAAGGTGAATATTTTTTAAAAGATAAAATAACTTACCATATATATATATATCATGGTCATGGAACTGTATGTATCAGTCAAAGCACTAAAATATTTAAGAAAAGTACTTAGAAATATACCAAAATGCATTCAGAAATAGTCATTACATCAAGCTTCTCTTTTTTCATAAATTTTATGTAATATGATTATATAACTTAGTAATAGAATTACTTCACTCATTAAAATTTTAGTTATACAGTTCATCCATGGAAATAGTTTCATAAAATATTAAAACAATAAAATGCAGAAGATTCCTTCATCCTACATCATTCCTAAATGTGTAACTCCCTTCCCAAAATTAATTATTTCTTCTAACCAACCATCTGTAGACATTTAGATTTTTTCCATTTTTAACAAAAAAGGTGCTGTTATGAATAGTCTTATTCATGTGTCTTTTACACATATTTCTTAGAAGTAGTTGCCTAGAGTAGAATTTATGGGTTAAGAGATAGTTTGTTTTTATTTTGATAAGTACTGCCAAATTATTACTTCAAAAAATTTTCATTATTCTGCAAACAACATAGGAGAATGTCTTAATATCTTAAGTGGTTCTATTTTTTTTTAGTCACCTGGGTAAGACACTACATAACACTTTTTTTCCTTTTCATATTTCTCTGATTAGTAGTGAACTAAGCTTCTTCATATTCTTTTTAAATTGGTATTCTTTGTCCATTCCTATTCGTGTATTTGCTTTTTTGTTTCTAATTTATAGTTTCTTTTTATGTTATGGCTACTGATACTTATATAAATATATATCATATATATATAGCATACAGATATATGTATATATAATAACATGTGTTGCATATAATTTTTGCTTATCTTCAACTTTGTGTATGGTATCACTTGTATGAAGTTGTGTATGAAATAAAGTTTCCTATAGCCAAACCTATCAGGTTTTCCTTTTTGATTTTGGACTCTGTGTTTTGTTTAAGAAAGACTTCCTCATCCAAGATTTTAACATTATGAATGTTATGAAGATATACTATTTTTTATACTGCCGTCTAAAACTTTGATAGTTTTTTATTAGTATGTGTTTGTGATATATAAAAGTAACATTTATTGTAGGGAATATATATATGAATTAGATGATAGATAAATAGATAGATAGATAGATAGATAGATAGATAGATAGATAGATAGATAAATTTGTTGTATCTTTAACATTTTTAATCCCCTATCCCAGTGATGGTGAACTTTTAGAGTTTTCAGTGATACAAACAGCCCACTGTGGCATACATGCCATAAGTTTGCCACTACTGCCCTACTCCTTTCTCCCCTCCCCCAGATCCCTTTACTCATTTTCAAAAACAAAAAATCTGCCTCTCTATTTTGTACTATCTCTCCTTTATTTTGGTTTATTTTTGGTTTTTTGTTTTATTTTGGTTTTTTTGGTGTTTTTGTTTTGTTTTGTTTTGTTTTGTTTTGTTTTGTTTTGTTTTGTTTGTACCAGGAAATCAAACTCAGGATCTTGTGCTTGCCAGGCAGGTGCTTTTGCCACTGAGCTGTATCCCCAGCCCTTCTCTCCTTTATTTTGCTCTTTAAGTTATTTATATGTTGGGGCTCTCATATAAGAGAAACCATGTGATATTTAAACTTATGTATCTGATTAATTTTGCTTAATATTATGGTTTTAAGATCCATCCATTTTCCTTCAAATTACTCAGATTTATCTTTATAACTGAGTAATACTTCTTTTTTCATATATACCACATTTTCTCTACATCCATTCATCTGTTGATGGGTATATAGGCTGTTTCTAAGGTCTAGCTATTGTGAATACTGCTGATATAAACATGGATATGCACATATCACTTTAATATACATCTTTAACTCTTTCAGGAAGATACCCAGGATAGAGATAGCTGGGTCAAATGGAATTTCTATTTTTAGTTCTTTGAGGAATCTCCACACTGATTTCCATAGTGGTTGTACTAGTTTACATGTAGAAAGGTTTCTTTTCCCCATATCCTCACCAGTATTTATTGTACTTAGTCCTTAATGATAGACATTCTGACAAGGATAAAATAGACTCTAGTGTTTTGATTTGTGTTTCCCTAATAGCCAAAGATGCTGAACATTTTTTAATGTACCTATTGGCCATTTGTACCTCTTCTTTTGAGTAGTATCTATTCATTTGAATTGCCCATTTTTTATGTGAGGGTGCTGTGGGTTTTTTGGTTTTTTGTTTGTTTAGTTCTTTATATATCTAGATACTAGTTCTCTAAGAGTAGCTGGCAAAATTTTTTTCCCACTCCAAAGGTTTCTCTTCACTCTGTTGATTGTTCCCTTTGCTGTGCTGGTCTTTAACTTTGACATAATTCCATATGTTGACCTATGGTATTATTTCTTGAACAACTGGGGTTCTGTTCAGGAAATCCTTGCCTATGCCTGTGTCTTCAAGTGTTTTTCTTATTGTATCTTTCAGGAAATTTAATATTTCTGTTTTTATACCTGCATCTTTCTTGCATTTTCATCTTAGTACAGAGTGAGAGAGACATATCTAGTTTCATTCTTCTGCATGTGGATAACCTGTTTTCCTAGCACGATTTGTTGGAAAGGCAATTTTTTCTCCAGCATTTGTTTTTTAGCCCTTTTGTCAAAGACTGTAGATGGTTAGAGGTGTATAAGTCTGTTGCCGTGTCTGCTATTCTATTCCATTGGTCTATGTGTCTATTTTTGTGACAGTACTATGCTGTTTTTCTTACTGTAGCTGTATAGTATAATTTAAAATCTAGAACTGTAGTGCCCCCTGTTTTGCTCTTTTCACTCAAGATCGTTTTGATGTTCTTGGTCTCTTCTGGTTCCATATAAATTTTAGTATTTTTTCTAGTTCTATGAGTAATGCTGTTGGTATTCTGATTGCATTAAACCCATATGCCATTCTTGATAGTATGGCTTTGGCAAAATTGATTCTGTCTACCTGGGAATAGGATGATGTCTTCATTTTCCAGTGTCTTCTTCAGTCTCTTTCTTCAGAGTACCATACTTCTCATTATAGAGGTCTTTTACCTCTAGCTTAGGTTGATTCCTAGGTATTTAATTTTTCAGTCTACAATGAAAGGGATTGCTCTCCTGATTTCCTTCTTGGTGAGTTTATTACTGGTGTACAAGAATTCTCTTCATTTTCATGTGTTGATCTTGTATTCTGCCACTTTGCTGAATTAGTTTATTAGCTGTCATTCTTCAGGTGGAGTTCTGGTGTCTCACAGGTAAAGAAAGGTTCATACCATCTGCAAATAATAATAGTTTGACCGCTTCCTTTTCTATTCACATCTCTTTTCTTTCTTTCTCTTGCTTGATTGTTCTGCTTAAAATTTCATTTACCTATTGAGCAGAAGTGGTGAGATTGCACACCCTTGTCTTGTTCATGATTTTCAAGGGAATGTTTTCAGTTTTTCCCCATTTAGTATGATATTGGCTGTGGATTTGTCATAAATGGTCTTTATCAGTTAGCACTAAGATCATTCTTTAACTACTTTCATCAGTGTTTTATCCTGAATGGATGTTGGTTTGTCAAAGGCTTTTTATGTATCTATAGAGAAGACCATGTCATTTTATCCTTACTTCTATTTATGTGGCATATCACATTTATTAATTTACATATGCTCTACCATCCTTGCAGCCCTAGGATGAAGCTAACCTTGGTCATGATATTTGATCTTTGTAATGATTTGTTGCTCTCTGTTTGTAAGTATCTTGTTGAAGAGTTTTGCATCTATGGTCATCAAGGATATTGGCCTATAGTTTTGTGGTGGTGTTGTTGTTGTTATTGTTAGTCCTTGTCTGGTTTTGGCATCAGGGCAATGCTGGCTTCATAGAATGAGTGTGGCACTGTTCTGCTACTTCCAGTTTCATTAAGAGTTTAAGCTAGGATTGCAGGTCCCATTTGACCCAGCTATTCCCCTTCTAGGTATCTTCCCAGAAAAAATTAAAAGTATCGTACTACAGAGATATATGTGCATCCATGTTTATAGTGGCACAATTTGTAATAGTTAAATCTTGGGAACAACCCAAATGCCCATCAACCAAAGAATGAATAAAAAAGATGTGGTCTTTTTATATAATGGAGTACTACTCAGCCATAAAGAAGGATAAACTGGAGACTTTTATAGGTAAATGGATGCAATTTGAGACCATACTCATAAGTGAAATAAACCAGATGCAAATGTGTAAATATCATATTGTCTCTCTAATGTGAGAAGCTGAAAAAGTAAATGTGATCCAAAATGTACAATAGATATTGTAAAATGGGAAGAAACTTCAAAAGAAAAGAGAAACTGGTTTAGGGGAATGGGAAAAAAGAAGGAAAAGCAAAGGGAAAAAAATATATATATATGTAAGTATATATAAAAGTTAAGATAATTATACTGCTAATTTCTCTCATTTTGTGGAAGAGATAGATTTGTGCTAATATTGTTTGGGCAATTAAATGCTGATATCTTGTACTCTGAGTAACTGATTTGAAGATAACAATATGCAATGTGTTGACCATTGTTACCCTCCTATCATATTGTTTTGGAATTTTGGTTTTTTGTTTATATTTTTTTTGTTTCTTTTTCTTTAAAATAAATTTTTTTAAAAATATTAAGGAGTATTTGGTGTTAGTTCTGTGCTATAGTTCTGGTAAAATTTAGCAGTGAACCCATGGGGTTCTGGGCTTTTCTTAGTTGGTAGGTTTTTTAATACTGCTTCAGTGTCATTGTCTGTTACTGATCTATTCAGGATTGTTGTATCTTCTTGGTTCAATCCTGGTCAACCTTATGCATCTAGGAATTTATCCGTTTCTTCTAGGTTCTCAATTTGTTGGAATAGCAGTTTTCAAAATTAAGCTGCTTATCATCCTCTGGATTTCAGGGGTGTCTGCTGTGATCTCACCTTTCTCATTTCTGACTTCCTTGAGCTGTGTCTTTGTCTCCTTTTTTAGGTAAACCTGGCTAAGATTGCATTGCTCTCATTTGTCCTTTCAAATAATCAGCTCTTTGATTCACTGACTCTGTGTGGTTTATTGTCCTAATTCAGCTCTTGTCTTTATGATTTCTTTCCTTCTACAGGTTTTGGATTTGGCTTGCTTTTGTTTTTCTAGGACCTTGAGATGCATCACTAGGTTATTAGAGATCATTCTCTGTTTTTTGTAATGTAAGCATGCATGGCTATTCATGGTTCCTAAAACTGCTTTGTGGCCCACAGTTTCTGGAATGTTGTATTGCCATTGTCATTTGATTCTAGGGACATTTTCATTTTCTGCCTGATCTCTTCAGTGATCATTGATTATTCCAGAGTGTATAATTTACTGTGCATGTGTTTCCACGGATTCTGTGGCTTGTTTTGCTGTTGATTTCCAGTTTGCTTCTCTTGGGAAATGATAGAATGACTGCAAGAGATTATTTTGACTCATTCTTGCTTTAATTTAAATGTGAATTATGGCCTGAGGTATGGTATATTTTGGAGACAGTTCCATGAACTGCTGTCAAGAAGATGTATTCTGATGTTACTGGATGAAACACTCTGTAGATATCTGGTAAGTCCCGTTTGTTCAATGGTATATTCTATTCTGGTATTTCTTGGTTGAGTTTTTGTTTGCTTGACCTATTTGTGAGAGTAGAGTATTAAAATTTCCCTCTATGATCGTTTTGGAGTCTGTCACTATATGTCAAGTGATTTTTGTTTGTTTTATGAAATCTGGTGCATATTCAGTGCATAAATATTTATAATTGTTATCTCTTCCCATTGAATTGTTCCCTTTACATTTCGTAGTGACTTTGTTTCTTCTGATCAATTTTGGCGTGAAATTCACTTTGACTGAGATTAAGATAACCACTCCTGCGTGCTTTGGGGCTCAGCTGTATTGTTTTCCATCCCTTCACTTTCAGTGTATGTCTTTCTTTGTGGATGAGATGGTGTCTCTTATGGGTGCCATGTACTATAGTTGGGTTTTGCTTTTTGACCTAATCTGCTCATCTGTGTCTTTTGAATGGGAAGTTGAGTCCGTGTATATTGAGCACTATTATTAAAAAGTATTTGCTGATTCCTATCATATTATTTTTTCAGTACTGATTCCATTCTGTTTTACTTTCATTTAACTGCTCTCCCAGTTAGATGTATCCTTTCCTTAGGGCTTTCGTTGATGTTAGGCTCACTCTCTGTTTAGAATTCCCTCAAGTATTTTCTGCAGTGCTGGCTTAGGAGTCATGAATTTCTTAAGATTCTTTTTGTCATGGGAGGTTTTTATTTCTCTTTCAGTTTTAAAGGATAATTGCAGAATACAGTGATTTTAGTATTTTTTGTTTATATGTTTTGGCATTTAGTTCTTTAATTCATCTGGAATTTCTGTGAATGTTGTGAAGTCCTTACTTCCAGATATATGTACACATGTGTATGTGTATTCATACACACATATAGACTTATAATAGATAATGTACCTTCATATATGTCCATATAAATTAGTAATTTTCAGTGAATTATTTATACATATATTACAGTTGTTTTGGATGCTTCTTTTAACATAAGCTAAATTCTCACACATACATATATAGATTCCTATATATTCTACTTATCCTATTAATTTTACTTACCTTTGTATTTCTATGGCAGTACTACTCTGTTTTTAATCAGTACAGTTTTGTATCACAAAATAAATACAAGATAGAAGCTGCCCCCTCATTTTACTTGTTGTTGTTGTTGTTTGGTTGTAGGTTTGTCTTGTTTTGTTGATGTTGGTTGGTTGTAGTTTTGTTGTTGTTTGGTTGTAGTTTTGTTGATGTTGGTTGGTTGTAGGTTTTTTGTTGTTTGGTTGTAGTTTTGTTGATGTTGGTTGGTTGTAGTTTTTTGTTGTTTGGTTGTAGTTTTGTTTTGTTGATGTTGTTGTTTGGTTGTAGTTTTGCTTTTTTGAGACAGGGTCTTGCTGTGTAGTTTAGCTCTGACCTTGAACTCATATGCAGCCCACACTGGCCTTGGACGCACAGCAGTCCTCCTACCTCAGCCTCCTGTGTTCTGGGATTACAGGTGTGTACCACCATGCCTGGCCCCCATATTCTTTCTTAGATTAATTTTAGAACCTGCTTGAGAAATTCCCTACCCAAAACTCTAGCATTTTGTGTAGTATTCCAATATAATCATGATTATAAAACTAATTAAGTGGTTACTAATTCACTAAATTCAATTGAAATAAAATCAAAACTAGTATAAAAGAAATAATAATAAATGGGTTTTAAAGATTAAAAGTAACAAATAGGACAGTATGCCATAAAGAAGTGACAATATTGTTTTCCTTTTTTTCCCCTTTTTAAAACTTTTCTAAATGGCAATCAGAAAATCCAGTCTTCAAGGGACTAATTACAAAAGCAGTTTATGCCCCAAGCAATGGACATCAAAGTTCTTATGTATCTGTAATGAACAAGAAGCCCAGATGGAGACTAAAATCTCATACCAATTCCTGGAGAAAAGCCGGAGTACTGTTATGCCATAGGGGTTTCCCTGTCATTTCCCTTTGAACTGTAAAATGACACTGAGAGAGATGCATCCCTGAAGGCAGAGCTGGACAGGCAACCACAGAAGAATCCAGTATACATTTCTTGGTTTAGATTTAAGGAAAAATAATTTGAAGTAATCAACCTGAGTCCTTTGTGAGTAGGCCTAACAGACTACGAGAAGGTTCTTGTTGCCATTATTGTTTTCATAGTAGCCTGCGACATCTCAGGTTCACTTTCCTAGCATTGGGTTCGGAGATAATTTAGTGTGGGTCTTCCCAGTTGCCTTGCAGGAGCTCCGCCCACCCAATGTGCGCATGACCTTGTGTGTTCTCAGCAAGCAGGATGGGCTCCTGTCTCTGTTTAGTTACCTCACAAACACAAGCTGGAACTCTTACTGGATACTGCAGGAATGCTGAAGACCTCTCGTATTCTGTGACTTAATGACCTAATACTAATACTATGTGTTTAATAGCTTTGTGGCTTTCTTTTCATCAAATTCTACATAAATTTTTTTGAAGCTGGCTTTGCACTCTATATAAATATTTGAATAAAGGATTGGCCTACTCCATTTTTATTAATTAGGTTGTAACATTTCTCATAAAAATAAAATATCTTGGCTATTAAATGTTAAACACGACTTTTAAGTGCACTTCTCTTCATGTAGCCACAAATAACTATAAATGTATTTCTCTTTTCCTCAGATTAGAGTCCAAAAACTTATTACAAATGCATGGGATATTTTTGAACCTCTTCTTTTTGGCTTAGTTGGATCAGAAGTATCTGTTTCATCCCTTGAATCAAATGCTATTGGTAAGAATAATTAGAGCACAGAAGGTATAAGATTCAAAAATACTTAGGAAAACTGTGAATACCTATGAATACCTTATAGTATTTTAAGTAGCTGTAAACTACTTTTTTAAAAAACTCCATGTTAATACACTGCGTTTGCTCTTCCTGTGTTTGTTTGTGTGTTTACTCATTTGTTTGACCAGAAGGAGCCCTGAATACCTTCCTGAGTGATCTGAGGAAAGAGATTAAGATTCTTCTCTGAGGGGAAATACTAGATAGCATCAGATGCTATCGCTTTCCTTTAAGTGTTTCTCCAAAAGTATACTAGTTCAGAGTTGAGTAAATTCAATTCAGAAGTTGTCATTTCACAACTGAGCATCTGTCGTCTCTGTAGCTGTCACAGCGGTCCCACCCCAAGGTCATTGGTACCTTATGTGCCCGCCTCAGTCATATCTGCATTCTTTATCATTGTTCTTTTTACTTTAAAAACACAGAGGCAGCGGCCTTAAAATGCTTTCACGTTTCAGGAATTTTATTTATTCATTTATTTAGTCTTTTTGAGACAGGGTCTCACTATGCAATTCAGACTGGCCTAGAGCTCACTTTGTAGCCCAGTCTGGTCTCGAACTTGCAACTATCCTCCCGTTTCAGTCTCTTGCATGCTGGGATTACAGGTGTGCGCCACCACGCCCAGCCTAGAAATCATATTTCTAGGCATAAAAAAAACACTTCTTCCTATTATACTTCATTGCTTACATGTGTTTTTATCTGTTGTAGGCACTTGTGTCGTTACCCTCTGTTTGGCAGTATTTGTCCGAATTTTAAGCACATTTGCACTAATGTGTTTTGCTGGTTTTACTTTTAAGGAGAAAATATTTATTGCTCTATCGTGGATGCCCAAAGCAACAGTCCAGGTAAGAATATGTTAAATCATTGTAATAATTTTAGTTTTGGTGATTTTTTTTTTTTAACTCTTAGAGAAAAATGTTATTCCAGCCGGGGATATAGCTCAGCAGCACAGTACCTGCCTGGCAAGCTCAAGGTCCTGAGTTTGACTTCCGGTACCAAAAAATAAATAAATAAATGAAATGCTGGATTGATTGTAACTGTTTATTGAAAGTAATGTAATTTTTAAAGAATCTCACTTTTAAAAGTAATTATCCTAAAAATTGAAAGTGTACTTTTAGTGACAAATACTTCTTTAATTTTATGCAAATATTGTTTCTGTTTTCCTAAAGTATAAAATGATAATATATGTGGAAATTGGAATTTTATATTTTGGTAAACATTATAGAGCTAAATGTTAAGATTTTAAAGTAGAGACATTTATTTTTAAACTATACATTTCCTAATCCGGCCACTCACTCCACCACATGAATATGTAAATGTTGTCTTTAATTGTAGTTTTTTTTGAGACAGTCTCACTATGTAGTCTGAGCTGGTCTTGAATTCTCTCAGTAGCGCAGGCCAGCCTCAAACACACAGTGATCTTTTCCAGCTCAGCTTCCCAAGGGCTGGGATTATAGGTGTGCGTCACCATGCCTGGCTCTATACATTTATTTTTATGGCTGTTTGATTAGTGACTAAATCCCCCCAAGATACTATATAGGAAGGAGGACAGTGGTTTTTGTTGTTTTTTGTTTTTGTTTCACTACTTTTCCCCAGCATTTAACACAATGCCTGGCAGGCAGCGGGTAAATATGCATTGCAAGCCTGCAAAAGTGAATGGATGGGGTGGGTGAGTGGATGGATGGATGGGTGGATGGATGGATCGATGAATGGATGGATGGATGGATGGATGGATGGATGGATGAAAAAGGAAATGTAGTTTTGTTCTCTTTTTCAGTGATACTCTTCTCCCACTGAAAGACATTGTTACTGACTGTTAAACTAACTTAGTATCACACCTTCATTTCCTGGAATTCTTTTCTTTATCAAGTTGCAAAACAGAAGCTTATAAATTTCCATGTAACAAAATTCTCCATTATCATGGTGAAGAAAGCAAACTGATAGGATCACACTGTCTGTTTTGAATACCGTGTTACTTGCCTATAACCTTAGGCAAATGACTTCATCTCTTAAAGCCTCATTTTTTCTCATATTACAGCAGAGTGTATAGTTACAGCTCCTGCAGCACAGTGTTGTAGGGGTTAAATGAAATAATCCGTGTGAAGTGCTTATAACGACTGCTGGCTCATGGGGGTGCTCAGTTAACGAGGCTGTCATTTTATCTTACCTTTGAATAAATAGAAATAATGACTTTTTGTTTTTAACCTCTGTTGTAGGGAATAGTAAATCTACAGAGGGAATATCTGCCTATTCTCCCTCCTTCCAGCAATACACTTGCAATTTTGTTTTCTTATTCAGATTTCCCTTAAGCAGGAGAAAAGAAACCTGGGAAAGAGACCACGCATTCACCCGGGTCCTATGGTATTTTCTCTTTCTGCCTGATCCTTGCTGCTGAGTCCAGGCCATGTGTCATCACCGAAAAGAGTATCAAGCTGGTTGCAGGGACTGCAAAAGGCTTTTTTTTCTTCACTGTTAAGAATTGAAGCCAGGGCCTTGTGTATGCTAGGTAAACTACCACCAAGCTGTAACTACAGGCCAAAATTAATTATGTATGCAGTAAAGTCACAACACAAGAGATAATAATAGTGTCCTCCCTATGAATTGAATCAGCAAATATCTTAAATTCAAAATTTAACACTTTCCTCATCTTTGTCCTCTTCCTCCGTTCTCTGCTCCTAAAGTAGAATTGGCTGGACTTCTTTTTTTTTTAACTCTATTTAGAAATACCAGTGAACATTAGAGTAAGCAAATGGGACATCGTAAAAGGGTAAGGAATTTAGTTCATAAATTTAAGATTAGTTTGCTCATTGCATCCTGCTAAAGAAAGAATCCTAAATCTCAGTCATTACATGGTACTCATTTGTCGTCTAATAGAAGTTCCCAGAGAGGGTCTGCGGGAGGGTTAAATGAGTTCCTAAATGTCAAGCTTGAAAAACAGTACCTGCTGCATGATGAGTGCTTTAGAAGTGCCTAAGTAGTATTGTTAGGATCACCATTATTACCATCATTATCCCCTAAGAGTGATTTTTGACACGTTCATGTTTAAACCCTTTTCTAAATTGGAAGAGTCTTTGTAGTTTGTTCCCTGGTTTATCTTTTGTCCCTAGCATCCTGTACTCTGGCTGGCTTATGTTCAGTGAACAATAAGCTGTCCTGTCTCTAGTCATTGATTTGGGATGTGGAAGCTGACCTTAAATTGAGGGCTCTCTTGCCTTATTGTCCCTTATCAGAGGTAATATTTCTATCAGCAGGCTATTATGGTCCAGATCTGAAAGGCCCCCCAAAGGCTGCTGTATGTGCAGAAGCGAGGCTCATGGGAGGTCACTAGATCTTGGGGGCCAACCCCCCGCCACGTATTAACCCACTTTTGCACGTGTGACATAATGGCGTCACTGGGAAATGATGGGCCCTGAGGAGCGTGGGCCTAGTTGGCGGAGTGGGGATAAAGCCATGACCTCAGGGACTGTATCTTGTCCCCAGCCCCTTCCCCTCCAGTTCTCTCATGCCATCTCACTCCATCGTTATTTCTCAGGTATTTTGTCACAGTGACCGTAAGCCAACATGCTGTTGCTATACTTCGCAACTCTGAAATATATATATATTTGTATTTCATCCCTAAAAATTTTAAGGCAATTTTTTGCCTAGAGTAGCTAATATGAAGAAAGAGGTTTAGCAAGGAATTTGTTTCATGTCATTAAAATAAATATAATACAAACACCTTGCAAAAAATGTATGACTGAGCGTGGTCACTCTAAAATGAAGACTTCAAAGGCATTCATCGCTTGGCAGGGGTGAGGAGTGGGTGAGGAGAAAGAGGAATGCACATCCATCTGAATACCTACTATGTGCCAGGTGTTCATTGGCTTCTCGTATTAACCCTCACGCATAGCCAGTGAGGTAGTATGTTGATTTCACAAGGAATTAGGTTAGAGAGCTTGAGTCACCTTTAAGAGATCACTCACCCAGCTGTGGCAAAAACAGAATTCACACTCAGTTTGCCAGATTCCAGTCCTCTTATGCTTGGTGCTATGTCTCTCCCTCCCTCTCTCTCCCTCTCTCTTTCTCTCTGTCTCACCACACACACACACACACACACACACACACACACACACAAATGAGCTGAGCAAGGAAGCCTAGAGACTGAGAACCCTCAGGGTTGTGCAGGGCCTTGGGCAGCTGACCTGGTGATAGCATAGAGCAGACAAGCAGTGCCTACGCACTTGGAACTCTGAGGCCAGGGCACAGTGAGCCCAGCCTGGGGGGACAGCCCTGTGCGGCTGTGCTAGTACTCATCCCTTCCTCCAGGTCTGTCTGCTTGGAAAAAGCAGAACTCAGACTGCTCAGCACTTTTCGGCTTTCTCTAATAGTTTAGTACTAGATTTTGTTTCTTTTAACAGGAACGTTTACTTTGACTCTATTACCTCTGATTAGCATTTTGCTTCGCACCCCGCCTCCATCACAGGCCGTCCTAGGTCCCCTGGCTCTGGAGACAGCGCGGCTCAAGGCGCCCCACTTGGTGGCCTACTCAAAGGACGTGATGACAGTGGCCTTTTTAGCCATCCTGATCACAGCCCCAAACGGGGCACTGTTCATCGGCATCCTGGGGCCCAGGATCCTGTCGCGTCACTGTGACCCAAGCAAGATGGAGCTGCCCTTGCCCGGACACAGGGGGCACTGAAGGTCATGGCCATCCCACCCCTGCTGGTCTTAATGGATTCTCTTTCAGGACAAGGGAAGGCTAAGGTACAAGTGCGTGCAGGTTGTACACAGGACCCAGACCTCGCTACATACCTGGCTCATCCGCAGGGCTTTCCTCTGATGTATTGCTTCCAAACTGCATTTGATAAAACAGCATTAAAATGAATGCTCAGTGTCTTCATAGTTCAAGAACAAAGCTAATCTGTAAATGTCCTGGGAACGTTGAGTCAGTAAGGCTGAACTCGATGTCATAATACAGACCAAGCATAATAAAAAGTAAACGAGCCAAATGACACAGAGAAGCACACGTGAATGTTGAACCTGGTAAGAAGCATGCATTTCCAGACAAGAGGAACAGCCCTCCCATCCCGTTAGTTCACCTCAGAAACTGATCCGAAAAAGAAAAAAAAGTGTTAGGACTAACAGGCAACGTCAAGTGGGTCAGCTAAATAAATTTTTAATTCTCATTTTAGTGACTACCTGAATGAATGTTAAGAAAAAGAGCCACCATTAGCCTTACACTTCTAATGCAGTACACTTGAAAGGAACTCTGCTTAAACAGTTTTTAGATGAAAAATTATCTGTAGTTTTTATTTGCAAAAATAAAATCACAAATGGAAAAATACTGTATATTTTTGATTGGTATTTAAAACCAAGGCATTAAAAGGCAGGCTGCAGAAATGAAAGATTAACAGATGACTGTCAGTGTGGGAGGTTTTTTCTTAGCAATACAGACTTTTTACTCAATTCTGGCTGAGGAAATCTGTGTGCCAATGTAAAACTATCAGGTATGTCTTTATCCATTTTTCACTGTTTAAAGAATTTTTATTGAAGCGAGACTATCACAGTCTATAATCCCAGCACTTGGGAGGCTGAGACAGGAGGATCACTGCAAGTTTGAAGCCAACCTGAGCTACATAGTGAGTTCAAGGCCAGCCGGGGTTACATAGTGTGACCCTGTCTCTAAAAAATTAAAATTGAAATTATACTTTCTTTATTATTCTTGTATGTTTATGATGCGTAATAGCATTCATCTTGGGGACTAACTTAATCTTGCTCAGTAATTGATTCTGTTACTGAAAACAGACATGTTTCACTCTGCCGCACTAAAGCATTACAAACAAGTTAAAGAATGCGCTATGTTTTTGTATTCTGCTGAAAATTCTTTTTCCCAGAACCTGTAAAACATTGGTATATTTTTATATTTTACTATTTGGGTTGATTCTTTGTGTTTAAATCAATAAGTAACCCAGGAAACATTCTGTTTGCCAAATGACGTTTGTTTAATACATAAGCTTCACTATTTCCTTTCTTTTTATAATTTATTTTATAGTTGACAAATTTCCCCATAATATTAAAGTCTTTGAGGTTTAGATATTTGTCTTCATAAAGCACAAGTTTTCTTCACGGTTCCTGACCCACTTTGAACAGTCGGCCACCTGTGGCAGTGTTCACTGCCTGCCAGCGCTGGGCCTGGGGTTGCTGGGCCTGGGGCCCCGGTTGAATGCATCCGCCTTAATCCACAGGACCCTGGAGCCCTGGTGCGAGAAGGAGCTGTGAGTTCCTCATGTCCAACAGAGCCAGAGCTTTGACCAGCAGGGTAGGGGGTATGGGTGAAATAACAGGACGTGATCATTAGCACCATTTGTCTGCGCTCCTCAGGAGAGGTGGCCACCCGTACTGAGCAGCCAGTCCTGGCCTTGGTGGGGACAGCAGGTCACTGTGCATAGCTCATGGAACCCCATGATGCCACTGAGAACCAGCCACAGAACTGGCTCAAGCAGCAGCCAACGGGATGGACCCTGTTGCTGTCAATGTGTCAGGACAGCTGTGTCCGCAGGACTCCTGGTTTCCTAGATCTGGAGCTGGCAGTCCAGGGTAACTGGGAGCTCAGCACCTGGCATGGCTGACATGGTGAGGTCTAGCACCCTGGCAGCCTGGGAGGGCTCGGTGTGAGCAGCCACCTGGCCGAGAGGATACTGTGCGCCTGTACATCTCTCCCCGAGCCCTTAGAAACCACTGACCCATTCAGCAGGTGGGCCTTTCCCAAGCACCCTGTTCTTACGCAGGCTTCTTACCAGTGTCTTGCATGTCACAGTAGGAGTGAAGGTATCGTGTGCATTCTTGCTTCAGCATCATCTCTGCAGTGTCCAGTGCTTTGCGCTACCTGGCAGACCAGAGTCCACCGTGCTGGTGGGCACCGCGCATCTACAGGTTGTGTGGCGGGACTGCAGCTGTGCAGACCCCGGTGCAGCAGGCTCGTGTGAATACCTGTGTATCGCCAGGCTGCGCTCCTGTCCTCACAGGACCACGTCCGCTCCAGCAGCCTTGCAGGTGCTGCTCGCTTTGGCTTGCATTTAGTGGACGACATGACGTCCCGAGCAGCAGTGCTCACCTGCCTGCCGTCCGGTGATGATGGAGAACCGAGTCTCCATCCAACCCTCCTGAACTCTCTGCTTGGGTGAGTGCCAGGCTTGGGGGCTGGATGTCGCCAGCTCGGGTGTGGCTGGCTGCTCCTTAGGAGGTGCTGCAGGGCGGGCTGGAGGGGAACTTCGGTCCTTGAAGGCCTGTCCTCCAGGCAGTGAGGGACTTGGCCAGCTGGCTGTCTTCTGTCTTCTTTTCCTCCTCCCCACTTGTCTTCCTCCTCTTTCTTAGCCTCCTCCTCCACCTCTCTCTCTGTTCTTCGTTCTCTTCCTCCTCCTCTTTCTTCCCTTCCCTCCCTTTCCTCTCTTCCACACCATCATGAGTTCGCTGTTCTCTCCAGGCAGCGTGCTGACGGGGATGCTGGATAGACTCTGAGCTACACGACCTTTCTGCTAGGAAGTTGGCTGCCTCTGGACACACCTCGTTGCAGTGGCGCAAAGCCAATGCAGTGAGGTGTCCGTTCACATCTTTTGTCTCTCTTTAATTTGCTTAATTGTCTTGTAATTCTGAGCTCTCTGAATGTATATTTTGGATACCAGGGCTCTCTCAGATGTGTGTTCTGGACAGGTTTCCACCCAGCCCACTGTATTTTCACTGACAGTGTCTTTCACTGAGCAAAAGGGTTCATTTTGTTTTATTTAATTTAATTTATTTATTTATTTATTTATTTATTGTCCTTTGGGGACAGAGTCTCGCTATGCAGTTCAGGCTGGCCTTGAGCTTGCAGTGATCCTCTTGCAGTGATCCTCTCACTCTGTAGCCCAGGCTGGTCTCGAGCTTGCAGTGATCCTCCTGTCTCAGTCTCCCAAATGCTGGGATTACAGGCATGTGCCACTATGCCTGGCTCTGTGTAATTTTTTTAAAGTCCAAAGCACTCAAAAAAGTAATTATGATATAAAAAACAAGATTTCAATATATTCTAAAATGCAGAAGTTACAAAAGCTTTTGACTATAATGTAATGAAGTAAATTAGTCATATATAATAGTATTTAAAATATTACTGGGGTCAGAAATATCAAAGTTGTAAATATTGATTTAGAAAAGAATGACAATAAAATTCCATATTTCAGACATAAGGCCTGTGGCCAAGGCTGTTGCTCACAGAAATACTGTTTTGTTTTTTTTTTTTTTTTTGGTTTTTCTCCGGTACCGGGAACCGAACTCACGACCTTGCGCTTGCCAGGCAGGCGCTTTTGCCACTGAGCTAAATCCCCAGCCCTCACAGAAATACTGATAGCCTTAGCAGTTTTGCTAATAAACTGAATCGTACAATAGTCTGTCATGAACTTCCTATCTTCTTGACGACTATGGCTTATTCATAAGTCTGGGAGTTGGGTAGGGTCAGTCCTTCAACTCTGCCCTTTCTTTTCAGGAATTTGGAACTTTTCCCTTCCATAGAAATTTTAGAATCAGTTTGTCTGTATTAACCAAATAACTGTCAGGGATTCCAGTTATGATTTCATTGAATCTGTAGATCAAGTTGGAAAGAAGCTACATTTTAATATTTAGTCTTCAGGTCATGAACATGCAGTATCTTTTTTATTTAGCTATTTTGTAGCTTTTTTATTAGTTGTGGTCTTTTTTATGTAGATCATGTACATATTTTATAAGAATTATATCAGTGTATTTGGTGCTAATGTAAATTGTTGGTTTTTTTTAATTGTAGAGAGGTAAACAGTGGACTTAGATGTTAATTTCATACCCCACAGGCTTGCAGTAATCACTTATGAGTTCCATTATCTCTGCTGATGATTTAAGATTTTGTACATAAAAATGTATGCCTTTTGCAGTTTTCTGTCTTCCCAATCTGTATATATCTTTCTGGTTTTTTGGTGTGTGTGTGTGTGTGTGTGTGTATTCCCTTGGAATTCCAATACAGTGTTCAACTCAAGCTTTGCCCTAGCAATTTCCTCACAAATCAGTTATGTCAGTAAGAGTTGAAGAATGAGCGTTGTTTTGTTCTTTCAGTAGTTGTTACTTGTCATTCCCCTGTAAATAGCTTTCCTCTGGTTTTTATGAACTATATTTCCTACATAAAAGACAAGATAAACGCAATGTTCTTTAACAACCAGTTTTCAGAGTTGATGTGCTAGAGCTGCCATGGTGCCCAATGAAATTTATTATCTTTTCATTTGTTTATACAGATGAATACTTTTTCTTTTTCTTTGCTTGCTTTTCAAAGTATGTATGTATTTTGATCATTTGAAAGTATTTACTGTTTTTCAATAGAGTAGTAAACTGAGGGGGTCATCGGAAGGTCACTGTGTTTAATTTTGTTGAGATATATGTTGCATGCTATACAATTTGCCCACTTAAAGTATACAGTTCAGTGATATGTATATATTTACTGTTATGGTTGGAATATGAAGCATCCCCCAAAGACTCATCCATTGAAAGCTTGGTCCCAAATGCAGCAATGTTTAGAGGTAGCGCCTAGTGAATGAGAGGATCATGACATTGCTAATGAAAAAAATCAGGTAATAGCTAAATAAACATATCTTATATTCATGGATTGGAAGCCATTAGCTGAGTGGACAGTTAGGAAGGGGGCCTAGCTGCAGGTCAAAGGCAGGAGAGTGCCTTTGAAGGGTATATTCCTGTCCCTGCCTCCTTTCTGGCTTTCCCTTTCTCTCTGCTTTCCAGCTGCCACGTGGTGAGCAGCCTTCTTCTGCCACTTAGCCTGTGACAAGAAACATCTAAGTGGACTGAACACTCTGAAAACATGAGCCGGGATAAACCTTTCCTGTCTTGAGTTGTTCTTGGCAGGTATTTGGTCACAGTGATGAAAAGCTAACTACAGTTAAGAATTGTCACGAATAAAATGTAGAACATTTTCACCACCCTAAAAGAATCCTAAATCCACTAGGAGTAACTAACCACTTCCCCCTAAACCCCTCAACTCCAAGCGTCCACTCATCTACTTTTTGTCTCTACAGCTTTGCCTTTCTGGAGATTTCATATAAATAGAACCATATTATGTTACTTTTGTGATTGGCATTTTTCACTTAAGGTACTGCTTTCAAGATCCATCCATGTTCTGTAGCATGTGCCAGGCCAGCATTATTTTTTGTGTGATTTCTAATATTCCAAATTGGGCACTGAAAGCCTCTCTATGTTAGCTTCTGTACCTTTTAGACATGACTTCATTCAACTTAAAGTACTTCTTTGCTTTCTGACACTCACATGTCTGAAACTCATT